CCCCAAAACCCCAAAACCCCATGAGCTGATATGAAGCAATTTAGAACTGTATTCCGATAAATTAGCTTTGCTTTTCATTCCCAATAAAATAGATAGTCTTATAATAATTTTAAAATGGCAATGTCTTTTAAATCAGGAAGGACTTCTCGAAATCTGAGTCAAAACCAGGCTCTGCTTTCAAAGTTTAGGATACAGGACTATATAACAGTGCAGAGGAGTTATGACTCTAATTTGGTAGGAAGTATAGTGGATTAGATGCAGGAAAAACGCTACTCTGAGCACAGGAAGATCGTATACGTTGATATGGAGATATTTGTGCTCAGATACTACATTCTCATCTACAGCATACTAGTAGGTCTTACAGTTATCTTGTACTTCTGGTTCAATGCCAAAACTGACGAAGGATAAGAGTACGAGAAGTGGTATTTGACTTACATGGTGACAGGCATGGCACAAGCTCTGGGAAGCTATTTATTAGCTAAGAAAGTTCAGTACACTTATCAAAAGGACTACCGATTGATAGTTTGCAAATCTCGCTTCCTCATTAAGATCAAAGCGCCCCCAAAGACTTATCTGAAATATGGCTTCACAGTTATAGATCTTGCTCACATTGGGATATGCATTTGGGGATTGGTTATATACATTAAGAACTTTACATTCATTCAGCATCACTTCTAAAAAGATCCTCTCATTCTCATAACCTGCCCTCTTCTGTCCTCACTTGGATTCCTTTCTATAATAAGACTATTTGTGTACACAGTGTTTTTCATTGTGGTGCCGAACAAGGCTGTAAGCTTCAAAAAGCGAAGAATCAACAGCTATGTGCAGCATCTTGAATCTTTCAAATTTCCAGTCATACTCCTAGGTGACTACCTAGCTCAGATAGATGCTATATCTGCTTACAATAATATACATTCTGCTAGTTTAGAGTAAAATCCATATGAGAATCTTAACTTAGATACACTAGTAGATCACATTAATTCTAGTAATAATATTGAGATTTATTAAAGTCCATCGAAAAATGAGGAGGACTCCACTGCGATCGATGAATAGTTGAGGAATTCCTCTCCTTAGAAAAAACAGGAGTAAGACAATCCTTAAAAAATTCAACCTATTAATTATAGTATGGTTGAATCCAACTTGCTTAACACTAACTCACCTTAGCAAGCTCAGTCTGCCTTATCAATGGCTTAGAAAGATAAACTTCCTAAATGCATAGTGTGTTACAAAAAGATGAAGCCATTGGATGAAATCGTAGTGTTGAACTGTAATATTAAGCACATTTACCATAAAAAATGTATCAAGGACTGGTTCAAAAGGAATGACGACTGTCCGAGATGCAAGGTTGATGTAATTTCTCAATTAAATCCATTAAACGAAAATGAGAGAATGTCCTTGTATCAAGTATGATTAACAAATCCTCATCCAAATACGAAAAGCTATAAGGTATAAGAGATGAAATTGTACATATTAATTGAGTTGGCTCAATCATTTTATCGCAGCTCTTTGATAGACTTATAAATTCTCTAATCTAAATAAAACACATATTATTTGAACTTTATTTCTTTAATACTTCTTTTGAATTGTATATCATAGCTGAGGGGTTTTGGGGTTTTGGGGTTTTGGGG